ATAGTTTCATTAAGTATTTAAAGACAGAAGGCACAATTTTCTAGCTATCGCTTATACGAACTAATTGGAAGCAACATCATTCCCCGAAACTTCCATAATTGAGTAAAGTTGGTGTATGCCTTCTTCTACAATCAGATATATGTAAATCAGGCTATCAGAAACGGAAGTGCAAAAAATGAACAAATAAGCAATAAATTTCACTTCTACCGCAATGTATGCGGATTTCAATCTTGAAAAATAGAATATTTCTCTTGGACTCTAATTGCTGTAGGTTCCTTTTTGTCCTTTATGGCTACTTGTGGTGTTGATTTCTGTTGAAACAATAAAAAATATGCCTTTTCACGAACGGGAATTCGAATTCTCTTGTGGCTTCATAGTCGCATTTTTCAAACATCAATTTTGGTATAATTTGATGCCGAAACAAAGTTTATATCTGAAATTGCGCAGGGTGGGGGGGGGGGGGGGGGGGGGTAGGAGAGAACCTTTTAGCCTAGGAGTTTCAACTTTGAAACTACCTAACTTGTTTGATTTTTTTACTAGTTAGTAAGCAATGGCCAGTGAGAACGATCACCACGGGTTTCATGAAAAATATCGCCGCTATTACTGGGCACGCTAAGTATATTCTTGCAAAAATTTGATATAGAATTAGTAGCAGTAAAATCTTGGTTTACCCGATCCCTATTTTGAATGAAAACTATGGACGCTTTAACGAGTGCTGAATCTTAAAAAAAGTTCACCATCTTACAACATCAGCTGTTCAACTACAGGGCAGTTGAGCTTAGTCAAACAAAAGCCTTTGTCTCTCCATTTTTAAATTTTCAAAGTTAACACTTATCTTAATAACTTATCTCCCTTATAAGACGGCATCTTCACTCCACAGAGCCGTGAGATTCCATTTCATTTTTAATTTGAAATAATGATGCCAATAATTGTTTCTGATGCATTTAATATATTATTTATTACTTCATAAAATAATATCAATTTTAATTTAGTAATATCATATCGACACCTGTATTATTCTTAGGAAGGCGAAATAGTTTTAAATGATTGTAGGAATGAGGTCATAGTATTTTCTAAGTAAGCAAAAATAAACTTTGGTCAAACAACAATAATACTTGAAAGAAAACATTGGAAATTCAAGAAATTTTATGTTAGTTTTCCAAATTGCTGAGTTGAATGCAGTTTAATAGTCGTGAGGTAACAAGTGCGTTTAAGTAAAATTAAAGGAGAACAATGGTAAAATAAATGGAGGATTAAAATTGGAGCACGATGCGTCCCAGAAAATTTTAATTGAACCTCCTCTTGATGAATTGCCAAAAAGTTCCGGACAGACTTACTAATTTGTACTCACTTTTCACGTTTTCTTCATCCTTTAAATCATTAATTTACTTCGGTTCACATTTTACGATTCTATTGTGCTTGTGAAATAGTAGGTAACAAATTATTAGCTTATTGAAAGAACCTTCACCCTTAAATGACAGGTCCTGGCAATTATAAAATGTATTGTTTTGACGTAAAGAAACTGGATATTTTCTAACTGGAAAATTTTTGAAAATCTTTCCAATTGTTCTCGTTCCGTGGGCACCATATTTTTCGATTACTGTTCATTTTAATTACATTATCAATTAGGTATTTTCATGGATGTGATATTTCATTTCACCCACACTATACTTGTAGGGAATACAACTTTATCATGACGAAAGTAGAGGCTTCTCGACCAACCATCGACGAAATCCAGTAAATGGTCATCGCACCTTGGTCTTAGACCTCTCGACCAATCAATGGCCAAAGCCAACATGTAGTTATCATGACAGAAAGTGTATATTATGACTAAGTTCTCCGTCTTCAATCTGATACACCCCAAAGATATGTGCTCAGCGTCAGAAGTCTATTTCCTCTATAGCTTTTCGGAAGCTTACCTAATTCAAGGAGCCTTTCCAAACATAGGCTTGTTAGTTTAGTAATCCGCAACATACTTCAGTGTATGTTCGCATCTTTTAATCACCTATGTATTGTTATGTCAGTGGTGGTAAGCAGTTACATACTATTTTATTTATAAATTAGATGACTAACCATTTCAAGAAAATCTTAAACCCTACATCAAAGGCGTTTAATATCATATATTTGGAAATGGCTCTCTTTAGATAAATGTGCGAAGTTAAATGATGTAAATGAACCTTAATATTGGTTCCAGGTGGTTAGTTTTGTAAGCTCGTGGTTTTGTCGCAACTACCAGGGACTTGAAGTCATCGGGTGTATATTACAAAAAAGAAATAGGATATTCGTATAATTCGATCACGCAGAATCTCAAAGGATCATAAATATCCATAAATTATACGGCCTTGATTATTATAGGACCTCAAACAGATTTTCAAAATCGAATATCTAGCAAATTAATATAATATTCCAAGATTATTTGCTAAATCGTTCGAAAAACCCCTATTTTAAATTTTCAAGAACAATAGATACTATATTATGAAAAACTGAGGCTTAAAAATTTTTACAAATCTTATTTTGGCTCAAGTACTAATAAATAAAAAAATAACTTCTTGTAAAGCTGAACTAAGAGGAACAATTAATCTTCGGCCCTAAAAATCGTAATTTGGGATTAATCGTTTGACCTGTAGCGGATTGTTGCACTAATAAGTCTTGACTTTACTCTGAAACATTTATGACAGATTCTCCTGTCTGAGAAGATCCCAGAACTATGTAAACTATAGAAGGAACCGACATATCACACGGAACACGTTTATTTGGGATGCGTGTATATGGTGCGCGAGTGTGTGCACAGATCGGGTTTGATAAACCAAGTGAGGACTACTGATTTCCGACTGGCTGCGTTCTCCGCACTCACGACCGTGCTTACTCCCTACGCGAAGTTACTTTCCGAACTTTCCTGTCTGTCTGAGTGCGCGAGAGATTTCTTTATTAAGGGGTGATAACGTTGTGCGCTCCACAGACTCTAACACCTACAACTTCAGAATGCAAGTTCACTATAATTCATATCGTCCTATGTTATTAAAATGCATTTGTGTATGTAAAATAACCAAATAATTGGCTGAATTAAAGGTAATATTTGTCAGATTCATAAAGATGCTGTTGGTTACCAGAATATATCATGTTTATTAATAATATTATTATTTCAAATGTCAGACTTTATGATACTAGGGGTATGATTCTCGCTTAGGGTGCGAGAGATCCCCGGGTTCAAATTCCGGCTGAGCCAATGCAAATACGTTTGGGGTGTGCAATAGACTTACCTCCACGTGGTCAACGTGTACTCATACGGCAAAAGTCTATAAATCGGCAGTTGACTTCAAACTATCGCGATCAGCCTGAATATACCAAGATTGTTTCAATAAAAATAAAGTCAGTCAGACACTACCAATCTTTTAATTCCACCATGTTTTCAACGTTTATTGCGTATTCTAAAGTAGTATTCTTATCACCAAATATATCAAAAAACAGCTTTTCCAGTTTTATATGCAATTTAAACATAATAATTAAATTCAGGTTTTAAATGTGGAAAATTGGGACTTTGAATGACAGACCAATGTGTTTTCACATTAATGATACTTCACATAAATTCACATAAATTAATGATTCCGATAAGCCAAATAACTTCGCGAAAAAATGATTACACCTCGGTGGGTTTCTTCAGGTAAATTAATATTTACTTATATATCCTCTTAGTCCCAATCTAATAAGTAAGAAAGTGCTTCTCAACAAACAGCCAACTTGTGTCTCCAGTAACCAGTTGTCAAAACACTATTAATGGTCATTGAATTTGCGTTAGTGAGTCAGATATAATTTTAGCTTCTCTAATTACTTCGTTATTGATATAAAGTATATTAATTTAAGTGCTTTCTTCGATATCTTCGTGAGAAATCGGACGATGAAACTATAATTCACACATCAACTATTACACGGGTTGGTTAGTAATTATAGGAATCGAATTAGATACGATTTTTTAAGTCCTATTATTCTNCAACTTAATTCAGTGGTAGGCAGCTAAGGTAGTCAGTCAAAAGTACATATTGAAATAAGTATATATATACATGCCATTTTACAAAAAGTAGAAAACACGGGTGACAAAATACTGACAAATAATGTTAATAAATTCGATTTCATTTTCTCAGTTCATTTTGGCAGTTCGAATGCATTAAAATATCATCTGTTCATTTTGCTTAATTTTTCTATCGACAAAAATATTAAAACGAATGGTATTAGTCAAATAAGCCATATTGGTTTAATAGTGCCTTGAAATATGTGTACTTCGACCTCCAGGTCTGAGTCAACTGAAGCCTAGCGAAATCTAATGGGCAGTCACATCAGGAGTCAGAATCAAGTCTTCTACCAATTTGCTAGAAGTGGCAATATATGAGAACCAAAGTTGCAATCGTTCATCTTTTAAAAAATAATATTTCGTTTTCACATCACGCGATAGCTTAGTTTATTTAGTTCGTCCCATTGTGGGACACATCATAAATGACCAAATAGAAATCCTGCTATGGAACCCTACTCAGAAATATTTTAGCTATTAATGTTCACACGAATTATGCTAGAGTTATCTGATAACTAATCGCTTTGCCAAACTTAACACTTCGCTATCAATATACGTACCGAATAAACGTATTCCGTGCTACACGTCTGCTTCCCTTATAGCTGGGCTATAGCTTAGCTTGTTCTGAGAGTCTAGCTAGATGTTGGAGAATCTGCCATAGAGATTTCTGAGTCGGTCAGGCTTTATTAGAGTAGCGATCCGCTACACCATTAAACAACTAGAAGCTTCTATGACTAAAATTAAGTAAGAATTTACTAGTAATGAGTAAATGCATCAAAGTATATTTAATTTCGTTCAAATATTTTTCAAATTTCAGTTTTCAATGAAAATTATTTGTGACCATTTTTGGATTTATTATTATAATTAGCCAACCTACTGCCCAATTTACGAATAACCGTCGCTGACCATTATCTATACAACTTCGGTCGTCTTCGAAATGAATATATTATCCAGATTATCTTATCTACGATCATCAAAGTGTGGGTTTCTATTCAGTTTTTTTATATGATTTTAATTTCTTGACATATTTTTTTATAATTATAGCTCTTATAAAAAGGGTACTCAGTACTTCGGCGTCTCCTGTTTCTAGCATCACACCTGTCTTAATTGATCCTCTGCAATCCCCCGATTATTTCGGTCTTCGAGATATTATATCAGTTGAACAACTCCTCAAAGCTCGTATACATTTCGGCCACAAATCACTTCTTCGCAACCCCTACATGACCCCTTACCTCTTTGGCACTCGTCAAGGAGTTGATATATTTGACCTTGAGCAGACTGCAGAATTACTCTTCGATGCTCTCAATTTTACAGCTCACATAGCTTATCGTGGTGGCATCATTCTCTTTATGATTCAACATCAGCAAGTTTGTTCTATCTCTATCGATTTCATATTTTTATTAGATGATGCACTTGGTGGAAAAGACAGCAAAAATGGTAGGAGAATACTCCTATTGTAGAAAATGGGGTGGTGGGGTGTTTACCGACTCTTCTAACTTCTACGGATCAACTACCAGACTCCCTGATCTCATAATTATGCTCAATACAGTGAATCCAATCGGATCTAATCACGTAGCTGTTCGAGATGCCGCAAAAATGTTAATTCCTACAGTTGGTGTTGTGGATTCGAATTGTGACCCTCGGCTAGTCACTTATCCTATCCCTGGCAATGATGACTCTCCGGTTGCAATTAGATACTGGTGTGGTATTTTCGCAGAAGCTATTTCACATGCTAAGAGAAGAAAGAGGCGAGATTCGGCTTTGAAAAAGCAGATTGCGTCTACATCGGTTAATGATTCACAAATTGCAATTTCATGAGACAGATTTTCACCTTGTAATGCCTGTACATATTCGAATAGCTTTTTGGCGTAATGCTTAGTAATTTCTATATATGTTACTACTATTCCACTCGTGAACGTAGAAATAGTTTTCTAACAAAGCCTTGTTTTGTTTTTGAGGGTTGGCTTAGGTCTGAATAGCTTCATAAATTATATTTCCTTACTATAACTGGTGGTTTGGGTCTTTTCGAATCCAAGTGATGATTAGCAGTCGCTATTGTAATTTTTAAGGTGAGAACCTCTTCCCAGTTATTCTGCTAAAAGCATTTAGTTTCCAAGAATATTAACGGACATCTTACCTATACCGCGGATGTCTAATTTAGAATAAATGCACTGTAAGGGGGCCTGTGTCAATCTCTTGAACGACACCACTGATAGGACTTCTCGAATAAAAGATCTACTCCCTAAAGTAGTATGTGGAGGCGGTGATTCCCTTATCCAACAGCCACTCATTTCTTTGTTATATACTCATATTCCGCATTTGAGATGCAGTCTGACAGTAAGGCATTAAAGGGCCTTATCAGTATGAACATAGATTTAATCTTCCACCACAATTATCCGGGTGTAAGTCCATTTCAGCGACTATTGAGAGTCGTGGACACGGATAATAGCAGTCTGGCAACTATTCGTACGCTTAGCACAACACTAAGCAATTTAAAATCGATGGAATGTCTAAACGATTATCTTCAAATGTAAAACTTTGAAAATCTTTCCTAAAGTATACAGACGCATAAAAATCATTCATTATCTATTGTTCTGTCGTTCCGAACAACGCCAGTGGGCAGCAGCAGTGAGATGGCAAATTTTTAAAATTCTTGTTTTTCAAGGTAATAGAAAAAAGAAGGTAGCTTAAAAATGATCCTAAGTAATAAAAAATTGCTCTATTCCCGATTTGATATTCAGCGCCAAGAAACGATGGAATTAATATGTGAACTATAATCGCAAAAGTTTCGATTTCCACAAAACACTAGCACACTTGATTCAGAGAAAGTAATATATGTGATATTGAAAAGTAATCGAAGAGGACAATAAGCATACAAAAGAATCATTAGCATGCTTTAGACAAGAGCTCAATTCAATGGAATAATTTTTCCAGACGCATCTTTAATCTGACTCTTACGATACTTCCAGTAGTTTGCACGAATTCTATCAAGTTCAACAGAGAGGCGATCACAAATTTGCATCGCACTGTCAGCAATCTCCTTCAGAACATCTTCGTCCTCGGTTGAACTTAAAGAAAAAAAAACCAATTTAATTAATCAGAAACCAAATAAGTGACAAAGGAAATAAGCTTTCAAAAGAATAGCGTACGGAGAAGGTTTCAAAAGGCGATTTTGAAGAGATAAGTAGTATAGATCAACAAGGAGACTAAGAATAGGGGGACTTTCTCCAGCACCATCTTTATCATTATCAATCAAATCTTCGACGGCGTTTCTGACGGAAATTAGACGAGCATGAGCGACATTGACATCTTGCTTAGATACAGCATTCGGCAGGGGAGAGACTAAACCAAGAAGGTAATTGCACGCGCTCTCATTATGTGGCATGGCCTTCAGTTGAGTGACTGCATAATTCATTTCCTTAAAACATGATTGATTAAATCAAGAAACTTCTTCATACCCTATCAAATACGCTATCATTTAATCCTTCTTCAATAACTGTGTAGAATCTGTGATTCCAAGCAGAGTTGTTCAATGTATCATCAAGAAACATTAACTCGGTAAATCGAAGTTCATCTTTCACTGGAACACCAAAGAAATCAACCAGCCATCTACGATATTGCCAAGCGTGATAATTCTTGGAATCATCATTCAGAATTTCACGAATCAAATCTAACTCCTTCTTCAAAGTTTTGAAAAGTTTAGAATCAGGACGAGAGTAGACTGTTTTAGGGTCATTTTCACCATCTGCTTTGGCAGCTTCCATCATTAGCCACTGAAGATGATACCACAACTGATAATTTTTTGGATGATCAAGCAAAAGCATTCTGGCAAAGGTGTGCTCTTTTGCAAGCGGAGATTTAAGAGTTAATAAAACATTGCGCCGATACGCCCAAATTGTATAATTAGCAGCATTCATTTGGAGTGCTTCTGCTGTGAGCGCTAAAACTCGTTCAGAACGCTCATCAATTGCAATAACCGCTCGAACGTAATCATGAACGTCTATAAATTCATCTGAATATGCAATCCGGACAATGCCTCTGGGACTTTCATCTTGCTTAATCGGTTGTATATCGGACCATTCAGGTCTATCCCTAAAAAATGTATATGGGCCGTAACCGTACATCTTGAGCAGAACTACCAAGGTTATATGAAATTCTTGATTAAAGTGGTTAGACTGACCTTATAACGTATATCTTTAAAGAAAAATTTCAATGCTAAAACATTGTAGTTCTGTACTACCATATTAATAGTATTTTTCAATGTCATAATCGATTTTTAATGACATTCAGAAATAGCTCATTCAAGCACAAAAAATAATATTCATGCATTGAATGCTAAGGCCCACAGATTATATATAAGACAATTTCTTGTAGAAAGAGAGTTTGGACAATTTATGTATGCTTAGAATACTATATTTGGAATAATATAGCTTATCATGAATATCATATTTAAACTCAATGTATGTTTTTTGATTGTTTTGATTATGTTTGAAATGCCTATCTTAATATTTATTACATTGCAGACTTGTATATTGATTACGAGAATATCAAATCTTATATGCACCAAAGAATTATTGCCACTAATACTTCGTTTGTCGTCAATTAAATTTTATTTGGGATTGATATCACTCAATTAAGAATCAGCTCAAAATATTAAATTTACAAAGTCTCTTCTACTCTTTTATACAAGGCAATTATTTAAAAGGCTATGAAAGAAATAAATGGTAGTCGATGAGTCGATTATTTATGTGCAGTTACATTTGTAATGTTATTTGATAATTGTCTTGCTTTCACGAAAAAGAAATACGATATACAAATATTCGGTTTAGCAAGAAACGATCAGCCTGACTGGAAAAAATTATGCTTCAAATACCATTTAAATCTATTGTATGCGCATTTACATTGTAATTAAACGTTGAAAATTAATAATTTTACTGATATATATCAAGAGATATTTGCTTAAGATGGAGAACACGAATATAATTTTTTTGCACCTACTATGGATTAAAATGCCTTTAAACCATGCAGTTTAGCCGTATTAAAGCCTCCAATTGGATGTCAACCTTTTAATTGCTTGCAATTAGTGCTCACTGAGAATAGTACAAAGATATGATATTGGAATACTCCTATAACAACAGCGATATTAACTCTAATGAGCATAATCTTGGAAGAGGAGCTGTATTTTCTAGTTTTAAGAACTTTTCCATGATATTCGACTAATAGTAGTAGGGAGGGGGAAGGGGGGGTGCTGATATCTTAAAGTACTTTGATCTTAATCGAAGATAGGCAAAACTACATTTAAGCATTATCATTGTAAGAAAACTTACTAAAAAAATTAAATAAAGGCTTCAAAGCGTAACCGACATCAGTAATATTAGACATACACGAATGAAGTAGTGTCACTTACCCTATGAATGGGTATAAACGAAAACTCAAACAGGGATTTGTGAACTTATGCACATATTTACATAGGACGAAGAAACTTTTTGCTTGGTTTCTAATAATAGGTCTTACTGCGTATTCACTTCAGAGATGATTTAATTTCCCCTACAATTCGCGATAATATTCTCAATCTCTCTGGCCCAAACCTTTAACTGTCATAAATATACGTGCCCAATATAGTTTCATATTCACTAACTTTATGGATTCATCTAAAAAAGAAAATATTTCATATATAAAACTCGCCTGTCTGATTGTTTCATCCATTTTCTCTTTACCAGTTTCGCCTCTCATAATAAACCGGAATTCATCGTAAACCTCGATAAAATTCGATCTCTCAGAATTAATTTTATATGAACTACGGTTGTTCGATACCTATTTTCACTCATACTTTTGAGGAACCAGGGAAGGAAATCTAATGAAAATTAGGAGAAAGAGGTTTTCACATTTGTTGACAAATCAACAAATTATTATACCTGAGATTAATGATAAAAATATTCAATTTTGCCAACGTTCCTTCAAACAAAGACATTCAGTTATACTAGGTAATGTAGTAAGCAGAAAATTTCCCTCTTTGCATGTTTAATTTCGAGCACGTACGTACTCGTATCACTTGCTTGGATTGTTATATCCCCAATAATATATTCACGATCACAAGATGTTTATTTAAATTTCATCAGATAGCTTGACCGGCTTGCCAGCATTTAGAAAAATGAGATTTCCGATAATTTTATTGATAGACTATGCAAATATTGCGAAAAATCAGAAACTTTAGTACGATGCATATCAAGTCAAATTCAGATTATAAAGACGCTTCTTTCCATCATTTCTATCCATCATTCCGCAAGAAAAAGAAAACCATAGTTTAAAGCAATTTCAAATTCCTCTAATCTGCAATGTTCTGCAAAAAATATTTTGATTATATTATGTTTTTTAAACAATTAACTAATTAATTAAATAACTTTAATTAAGTTTGACATAAAATTAGTTGAGTAGTCAAAAATAAAAAGATTGGTAGGATTGTAAACCAATTTATATAGTTCTAAAATATAGCTGGATTATTATAAATTGTTATCTTTTATGACTCTATCAACAATTAAAATTTTTTTCTATAAAAATAAAAGACAAACTCAATTTTTAAAATTTTTTAAGTCGTCAAAATATTTTAAGTTAATTTGTTTTGTTTATTAGAAAAAATATTGTTCGGCGTTTGCTAGGTCTATGCTACAATTTGAATCAATATATTGGCAATGAGTGTTGTATCATCCAGGGTGTCAAATAAAGCATCAAGCATAGTTTCAACGAAGCAACCAAAAAATGCTCCTAATTCAGTCAGCTTAATTCAAAGTGAAAAAACTAGGTCCATAATAAGCGGTACTAATAAACCCGCAAGCACTAACAATGGCACGTCAAAGACTTTACCATTTAACGCCGTCACCGTACCAACGGGCTCTGTAAAGGGACGAGTTCTTGGTGACCAAGAATTGACAGAAGAAGAAATTGAGCATCTGGCTAGCGTTTGTCGACGTTATGAACAATTACAGCGTCAAGAAGATGAGCGAATAAAGTAAATATTAATACTTTTTGCAAAAATTTTAAAAATTACTAATAAACAGTGTTTTACAATACTATAGAGTACCATTTTTCAATTGAAATTTGTGCTATATTATTTTAAATTGTAATATGATTTGAATTTTAGACAAATTCGAGATAGGGCAATTTCTAAAGAAAAAGCTCGACGTGGAGTTTCAAGATTTGATGAAAGTCACTGCGCTCTATGCAGTTCAGCCTTCATGTCAGTTATTAATGTCAAATCAACTTGTCTTCAATGCGATAGATATGTTTGTCGGAATTGCATTCACCATAGAATCAATAACGATGGTGTCCTCTGCATAGATTGCTTCAATGAGTGGTATGTATTCTTCCCAAAATTTATTTCAAAAGTCATTTTAAAACAAGATTCTTGTTTATTCAAACACGCCTTTCAAACATATATGTAATATATTTTAATACTAATAGAATATCTCACAAATTTCATTAAATATAACTAATTTAAAAATCAATTTTCAATTTAAACATAAAAGGTTTTCTGATCTTGAAAAATATAGTATGTTGTTTTTAATTTTCATAAAACATCGTCTCCTGCTGAAATTGAAAATTTGCAATGAAATTTACTTAGTTCAATGTAATAAGACTTTGAGTTGAAATCTAAGTTAACTTCTTTTCATATTTTGGCTTGAGAAATTTGGAACCTCCTAGTAGGTTTGAGAAGTTAGTTAAATTTTCTTGTTCTTCGAAATATTTAAGTCTAAATAGAAAAGAGTAATTTTTCAATTTTTCTGAGGCACATAGCCTGAATTAACTGTGAATTTTCAAACAGTTGATAATTTGTATTTTTTGAAGAATTCAGTCAATTCTATTTAAAAACTGGGCTCTATGTTTTGTGATGCTTATCAGTTTCGTAAATTAAGAAGATTTTAATTTGTCCAATAAATTTTCAGACAAAACGAAGTCTTTAAATGAAGAAGTTTCCTTTCAAAATTATAAATAAATTATGCGGCACTATATTAGTTTCAATATTCTTTTCAATATAAATTCGAGTTTATATACCATTGTCCTCTTCCGTTTCACTAAATGGACCATTTTCTAACTATAGCTGAAATTAAAATTCTTGAAATTAATTTCGATAATGCAATCACAAAAATGTATCTATTAGCTTTACGACAAGTTAATTGCAAACTATGCAGAAATTTTATTAAAGTTTTTACTCAAATACTATTTATTAACGATAAAACAAAATTTGGCATTAAGTTTTATTATTAGTCATGAGAAAAATAATACCATTTTGATCCAGGGAAGAACTAGTAAATCGACAGTGGTTTCTAAGACAGTTTCATGGGTTTTTATCTATATTCTCTTATTATTTATATTCTTTAACGCACCTGAGCTTGTAAATGTACTTTTTCCATGGATTATCCTTACCAAAGCGAACAAATCAAACAAAGTTTAATTGATTTTGGTCAAATTTTTTACGGGAAAATGAATTTTGCTTAGTAAATGAAACATCGCATCTTTCATTTATTATTACCTGCCATGTCTTTTCGGATGAAAATGACAGACTAAGTTAACCATATTATCCTTGAATTATTTCCATTTTAATTGTATACAAAAGACCCCAGCTTCTCTTGGGGAGGGGAGGGGAGGGGGGGGGACGAGAAACAAAAGAGATGGGTAAACTGAAAACTGTTAACTTTGGAGACAGATTCGAAATTGACTGAACGGGAAGTGAGATAAATTAGTGTTTTTATGTCGGTTGCTGTTTTATTAACTGGAAAATGTTCAATCTACCGGTAGTAATACAATCATACATCCATAGTCTTTGTACACTAGCACGTTTAATTTTCTGAAACTTCCGGTGTCTCCATAAAGCCTAAATAGTTTACTGCTATTTGAAAATTCGAATTGATTATATCATTAACATTTATGAATTCTCTATGCTATTCAAATTAAAAAATATTTTCAATTACCGTTTGATACTTTAAGCAAAATAAACTTTTTTGAGGCTACTAATAGCCGTCATTTTATTGTCAGTAAATCTTTTTATCATATAAGCACAGTTTCTTAAAAGTTCTTTATTTTTTTCAATTTAAAAAATAAACTTCTCTTTCTTTGGTTAATGCTGAAAGTAGAAACT